AATTATATTAATATTGATTAGTATACAGTTGATAGAAAAAAATGAATAGTTATAAAATGAGTAGAATGGTAGAAAATAAACGGGACGAAACGAGAGGGGATGAAACAAGCAAGTATGGGACGAAACGAGAGCTAATTAAAGAATGCGGGACGAAACGAGAATAATCCCTAAAAAGGGTATTTTATGATCTTTTTCGTATTCAAATGTAAATTATATACCGACAAGCCCAAGGCTCCAACCCTAAACCTCGTCGGTAGGCAATGGCTGGAAAATAAGGAACTTGATTGCAAAACGCCATTTTTTGCACTAGTTAGCATTTTTCGTATAAACGACAAAAAAAATGTAAAATTTTTTCTGAAACGTAGTCTGAACATTTCTCGTTTTATCGGAGCAAATCCGAACTCCGTATTTCTCTCCGTTACCGAGATATTTCATTAACAAAGAAAGACGGTTTCCAAAAGTAGCCGACTTTGAGCTCCGTTCTCCCCCGAACTACACGGCAGAATTCATGGAAATGTTTATTCTGAAAAAGAGTTTTAGAATTTTAGAAAACCATTAAACCTGAGAATTTTCCTTATTTCTGAAAAATTTACTCATTTTTGCCAATTATTTGCAATATTTTAAATTTTTTTCTCTGAAAAGTGAGTTTTAAAAATCTGAAGTGGACTTTTGCCATACAACTCGATCAGCTCGATTTAACCATAGCAAAAACACACAAAAAAATTGTGCTCGATTTTTGCATTACTATTACGTTAAGAAAAAGTCGTGGATAACATCGTCATATAAAAATTTCGGCAAACGGACTCCAGATGTAAACGGATGAGACCTCAGGGTCGCGATAAGCTTTTCCCCGAGACGATAGCACTATCTGGCGAGGAGAACGGATAGCTGACTTGAAACGTGACTTATGCGTCGAGAGGAAGGAGAGAAAGATTGCAAGGCAACCAGACGAGTGAAAAGCAATAAGTTGGCTGACTGCCATACACACATCACAGTGGGAACCAGTTTGTCCATTATCATCTTTTACCAAATTCCCAATCAGTTTTGAGTACTTTTTGCAACAACTAAAGGTGCAAACCGCCAACATTATTTTCTCCACTGAACCCATTATGGTGTTTCGAGAGCACACCAGTATATCGAAAATATCTCAACAATGCAAAATTATAGACACCTGTCGCTAAAGTTGTTTACTGTTTATATCTATTAATCGAGTATAAAGGAATAAAAAAATGATCAACTCCCGACAAAACAGTATTTGAAAACAAAAAGAAGGACGTTGCGTCGTTAGAAGAAATTTGGTACCTTTCGATGGTCACCAGCCACATGCAAGCAGACGACTAAAGTTATATCGAAAAAAGACATGATTCCTTTTCTTCACACGAAAACGACAAGAGACAGAAAGTCGATTTTAGTCGTCAAGTTAGACCTAACTTTAGTGAATGTTTGCAGAAAGTTTCGACCTTTTCCGGGTCCTGCAAGTTGAGATATGCCTGGTCTTGAGTACCTCTGGTGAAATTTTTAACAGAACGCAAACCGCGATTTGCTTCTTCGCGGATTGATTCTTGCTTCACTTTGTCTATTTCACAAAAACGATGACACCTTTCCGGATGATGGATATGAGGTAGTCAAAGAGTGATCCACTTAGTTGATTATCACTAAGGATTTTTTCCAATTTACAAAAAAACCTATTTGAAAAAACTCTTTTGAGAGCTTGCAGTGGAACATGGAGAGGCAATGCTTCTTCCTAATGTCGATAAAACAACGTCGAAGATTGAATATTTTGCTGAACACAATAAAAATGCCGTTGTTTTTCCTATAACATCTCGTCAGAAACAACTTCTTAACAAGAATTTCGAAGCGAATTTTAGCTTAATAAGATTTAGATTGCTATTGTTTTGTTTCGATACTTTCTTGAAATAAAAGAGAAGATGACACTTCTCAAAGAACTCTTTCTCATTGAATTCAAACTTTGATGTTTGTCGACAGACGACAGCTAATTTATTCAAATCAAATCTGCGAAAAACGTGACAGAATACGACAAATAATAAATCATATGAACTGAATACAACTACTTTATTTGATATGAAAATATTTTGTTCAAAAATAAGAGACAAGAGCAATAATAAAAGCTAGTGTCACCGAAACAAACGAAGCCATCTCTTTTGTTCCTACAGCCATGGTTGCTGCGCCCCTGGTTCGTCCATTAGCATCTGTTAGACCATTCTCTGCCAAAATACTCTTGATTTGATTAAATGTCATATCTCCATCACATAAATTTCGTCTACATCTAACGTCAATACGTGGAGAGAGATCGTCATCGAAGACAGTAACTCGGACGCCTCCATCATCATTCTCACATTGACGTGATATGATCTGCTGTTTTTTTGTATCAAAGCTCGATGAACAGAGCTCGCTTGAAGAACATGTAATAACGTTGTTTCTTAAATCATGACACTGGATCGAACCATTTCGTGACGGATTGTCGATAAGTAGTTCGAGTGGTTCATAGATACGTGTGGTGCTGTAGTTTCGAGCAACCATTTCATCTATCTTGCTCTGTGCATAAACGACAGGGCACTCGGTATCTTCTGAACATGAAAATAGCATATCATAAGCGAGGTCAGATGAAATAAAAATAAGATCATACGGCGATCCAGGAAAGATGCCAAATTTTGCAGCATAGTATTGTTGATGGTATTTGAAGCTCAGATGAACAGAGCAGTTGGACGCTGAAGTGCGTTGTTGACATTGACCCTCAGGAATGTGAAGTGGTGTACCGAATCGGCCGCCAGTTTCACAATCGGACCAACATTCAAGAGCGTGTCCAGTGTTTAAAAACAGTAGGGATACGAAGAATAACGCGAACATTTTGTGTATTATTACTTCAAATGCAAAAATGACATTTTTATATTTTATCAGTCACCACATGGAGATGTTTGTCTCGTATCACCTTTCACAATGTCAATATTTTGATTCTTACTTTTCTTTTCATTCTTACTTTTCTTTCCATGGTGCAAGTCATATTCTATAAAGTTTCTTCATACTATCACAGAGTTATAGACCATGCAACATATGACCATGCGCCTATAAACTCGCCCTTATTAAAAAACTCAAAATCGTTGAAAACGACACTGGACACAGCAATGGACAACATTACCCAGGTCCACTGTCCCGCCTCATTCGCGGCGCGATCGCTATTGACTCTTGCTGTCGTGGCGCGAAAGCGATGAAATCTTAAAAATATTTTAAATCTGATCACGACTTTTTTTCTCGCGGCAGAAGAAACGGTTAGTCGCTATTCACCTTTTTGTTTTGCAGTTCAGCAGTATATAAAAGAACGGGAAAAAACTTTATAACTCATCATAACTCATCACAAGCGGCGCGATCGCTACGATTTCGCGTTATTCGCGGCGCGATCGCTATAGACTCGTGCTGTTGTGGAAAATTGGTCATGTTTTATAGGTAATGTCATATATATCTATATGTTAACATAAAATATAACTAACTGTAAATTAAGAGAACATCT